TCATAGTGTTATAAAGTAATATCTTTCCAATACACTTTCAATGAAATCCAACCTAACTATTGCTTTTAAGACTAACCTAGTTATAGGTGTGCAGTGTTGGCCTAGTGGCTTCAGCGTGCGACTCTCATACCTGAGGTCGTAGGTTCGATCCCCGGCTGTGCACCAATGGACTTTCTTTCTATGTGCGCATTTAACATTTGCTCGAACGGTGAAGGAAAACATCGTGAGGAAACCGACATGTCTTAGACCCAAAAAGTCGACGGCGTGTGTCAGGCACTGGAGGCTGATCACCTACTTGCCTATTAAATTTAAAAATCATCATGAAACATGATTCAGAAATCTGAGGCCAACCAACCTTAAGAGGTTGTAGCGCCACTGATTTTTTTGTTATAGGTGTATGGTGATGTAAAAACCGTACAAAAAATTCTTAATAAGTCAGAGATTATCTAAATCAAAAGACAAACTAGGTATGGAACTGGTAATAAATCTGGGTGGTGTAAAACGAGAAACATATCGTTTGATTAGTGTTTCCATACTTCTGACCCTGTTCAATAAATGTTTTATTTGTTTGAGTGTGATTGGTCAAACGGCATGACGTATCGTGTCGCGTCACAGAGTAGAATTCTGTTGACCAATCACAACCCAACGGACCAACGTTTCGCCTTACATTCCTCGGTTACAGTACTGCTTCGCTAATTTGAAGAAAATAAAATTGTTAAAAACATAGGACTGGTTCAAAAAGTGCCAATTTTTTAAATAGCCTTTTTTAAATCAATCCTTCAAAACGATTCAACGGATTTAAATTTACAATTCTTCGAATTAATTCACGGGCGATTTTTTATCTGTAAAATGATACAAATTAATACTTGACCGCTTCTGGCAATACGCCCCCTATCGATAACCTACTTTCGATGATTCTTTCAATAAACCAGGAATATTGAATCATGTTTCAATTGATAACGAATAGTGTTATGGAAACCATTTTGTTAAATGAGTCTGTTTAAAAATATATTTTTTTTCCATATCTTAGATCTGAGGTTTATATTTTTCTTTTATTAATTCAAATTACAAGATACCTTTAACGTAAACGTTTAAAAAAAAAAGCCTACTTGAGCTTAACTTGGTTGCGAATTGATAAGATATAAATAGTTTTATTGGATTCGATAAAAGTAAACAGCCCTCCAATATCGCAATATCGCTTCATGAAAACTGAAATTGATAACATGTTAGCTATAAAATGGACGATAAAAGGAAGTAAACGAAAAACTTGGTGCAAAAGCTCTATTGATGAAGCGGACTCGAGTGCCCTTCAATATTAAAAGCATTCGATGAATATTGGAAACCACCTATATTGACGTTAACGAATAGAAATGGACACAGCAAATGAAATGCTTTTTTGAATTTCGAATCATAATTTTCGGACACATTTTTATTATCTATAGACAAAATAAATATGGCACAGATTATAAATGTAAAAATAAAATACAGATTCTATATAGTGAGCTATACTCGAAACCTCCAAAAAAATATTTATTTCAAAGATAGGTAATCAATATGTAGAAAGTTTTAAAGAAGCGTTAAGCGAAGCTTAGTACAATAAAATGTTCTTCTTTTTTATTTTTTAAAAATATAATTTATTTACTCGTTTGCTATAATCGATATGGCTTGATGGAATATATGTGTTACTTATTATCATTTGATGTAAAAGTTTGGCCTAGTCGTTAGTTTACTTATTTTTCAAAGCATGCTAACGTTATTTTCAATTTGACTAAATGTCAGATGTCATGTTGACTTTCGCACGGCCGCTTTCGACAGATGGCGCGTTTCCGCATCACACTGCCAAGTATAGGAATTTGTTAATTGTCTTTTTCCTTGTGTGATATTTAGCACCATCCAATTTAAAGAAGTCACATCACAAGTTAAAGGTATATAATTTTCTTAGATATTTAACTTGTATGTTGTATTATTAAATCAGTTTATATAGTGCAACAGTTAAAGTTTTTAGTTTTACTACTGTAGCTGACAAACTGCAATTTGAGACTTCAATTACTGTGGTAACGTTACTCTGAAACGGACGTTACTTGACCATGGCCACGGGGTCCTTCGATCGGTCAGTGGTAATGCTGGTCTAAGATTTTTTCTTTAGGTTGAAGGAAGAGTAGGATCTTCTTCCACATAAATTGCCCACAACGTGACTGACATAATTCATAATTTCTTAAATCTTGACTATTTTCGAATATATCGGATTGTTGCATTGACATATTATGTGCGGATGAATTGATTATTCTGTGATCAATCATGATTCGAAATTCGAATTAATGTTCCTGGATAGCCGATAACCCTAGAGTGTAAGTCTCTTAACATCGGGTGAGCCTCTTGCCTGTTTGCCCCCTGTTCTATAAAAAAAAAATAAAGCTTGCTAAGAATGCTAAAATGAAATGAAATGTCATATGCATATAACCATTTTCAAGGCATTGTTCTTATAACCAACAGTTATTAGCACAACACTAAACAAATTTCAATTTAAAACATTGCTTAGGCGCGATCGTTGGGTTCAAAATTATTTATGTAAAATAACTTGACTACTTTCTCAGCACGTTAAACAACCTATAGTTTAACGTTATAACTAAGAGATATATTTGATTCAATATGAATAACTTTAAATATGTATGAGCATGCAGTGTTCAAGTTTAATGTATAATAATGCAATTTCCTTCAAGCGATCGGTTGAGACAATTTGCGGATAGGATGTGACGTCATGCCATCGTCCGCCATTAGTTCTTGTACTCGCTTTAATAACACTTTAGAACCATTAATATTCATTGAGATAAGGGTGCATATTGTTTATTCGCAGTATTAAAATTTGCTACTACATATTTAAAAAGTGTTGGTCTAGTTGGATCAGCGTGCTCCTATTCCTGAGGTTGTAGGTTCGATCCCCGGCTGTGCACAAATGGACTTTCTGTCTATGTGCGCATTAAACACTTGCTTATATGGCGAGGGAAAACATCAAGAGAAAACCGGCATGTCTTAGACCAAAAATGTCGATGGCGAGTGCCGAGCACAGAAAGCTGATCATGAAACAGTTACAGAAAAGACCCAAAAAATTTGTAGCGCCACTGGTTTTTTTTAATTATAGCAGTAGTATAACGTAACTGTCAGAATGCTTTGAGCTTAATTCGAATTAATTTAAATGAATTTTACCATCCTTTGAGCTTAGACTTAGTTAACTTTTAATCTAGACTAAGCCACAGTCACAGAATTTTAATTGATAAGATGAATCACTGTTTTACAGTTCTGTAATTAAAGCTTGTTGTAGCTCTTTTCTATTGTAATCAATTAAAATACATAGGCAACTCAGATGCATAGATAATAGAGAATGTAGAGGTAAATTGTCTTTCCCAGTGTATTCAAGTATTGACCACAAACTTGTGACTTACTCTGTGGGCGGTGATTACAGTCCATGATTAAACCTCAAGACGATTGAAGATAGTTGTAAATGGGTCGAGCGTAGTACTAATTGTAGTACTTACACTGCTAATCACAGTAATTCACGAGAGTAATGTACTAATTATGTACGTCTCCCTATTTGACGTGAAATTTTGTTTAATTGTTCTGAAATTGCTATTGTATCCCATCTCTAATACCTCGGCATAAGTAACGAATAATTTTAATAGTACCGGATTTTGATATGTGATCACTTTCTCCACGTCATTTAATTTGAATAGGTAGGCATCCCTACTCATCGGCAAAGAAGACAGAGAGTGTAGGCCGAGAGAAAAAGCTGGCGTAAAAAACTCTGGGTACTCTTTTAAAATAGCACTAGCGGGCCCGATACACGTAATTACAAAAAAAAAATGTAAACCTAAACCTTTCTAGAATCATAAACAGAATTATACCATCGTACAGCCGTTAAGGAGTTTAATTACACACACAGAAGATTTATATAGGTATTTCGAACTCAAAATAACTTTATTCATATAGGTAAATTTGATACATTTTAGTCTATAGTTATTTTGGGCTGGCGATCTGAGTGAGTTGTTGCCCCACATATTTTTATGGTGCCACTGGCGGTATTGTTGTGTACCGGGTTGTGCAGCTCCCTCAAAAATGGTTGAGCTGCATGAGCTATTCGGGGCATGCTTGCCGTCTGCTGGCACAGGCTTGCTCAGATCGATCTGGTTCTTTCTTCCAAAGACCAGTCCAGTGTTTACTCTGCATTTGTTTACACCAATTTATTAATTTATTATTGTATTATCTGGACTATAAAAGAGACTAAGACCCCCGAGTTTGTTTCGACATTTCTTCTTAGGGCAGTCAGTACAAAGTAAAACGAATATAATTTCCATATACAATCAAAAGATATCAAAGCAAAATTTAAGGTATAAAGTTTGTATTAACACGACGGCGTACTTGATTCTATCAATCCGTAACCGTAACAGTCAGTATGATACCAAATATATCCCTAATATTTTCGTTGACATAAAATGTTGGTATACGAGGAAACTCTGCTGATTACTTAAATTGCAAATAGCCGTTGTGTCAGTGATAAGAAAGGAAAATGTTGACACGTGTTACACTTTTTTATCTTGAAACAAACCGACTCAGTCTGTTCTATATAAGGCAAACGCAAATATTTAATAGTTTTTTCTTGGGGATCTAACTCTGGACAGTTTGATTTCGAACCTAGCCATGGTTTGGATATTATTAGACTTCAGTGTAATTTTAATAAATTAATATTTTTTTTAATATAAAGTATTCTCTTAGCATACAAATATTAAAAACCTTAAAAACATAATATAGTAACTAAAATACATTATTAAAATGCCCTTTAGGCAAGGTTCCGAAGATACGAACTTAATATAGGCATATATTTATTAAGTTACATATACAGTAGGTATGTGTAATTATATTAGAATGGTAACTCGAATTGTGTAACTGAAATTATTTTAAAATTAACCTAGTTGAGATAAAATACATAACACATATAAATAACTAGAATGTGTTCATTTTTCAGGCTCACAGCATCCCGCCTGAGCATAACGATCATCGTAATACTACTGAAATCAGTGGATGGTGAGCCTCACCGGGAAAATCAGAGCTGTGGAGGCCGGCTCAAGGGCCCCGTGGGAACAATTCATACCCCAAACTTCCCCAACCCGTTCCCCGTCCCCATCAAGTGTAAATGGATCATCGAGCACGACATCGTGAACGGCACTATATCGATATACTTCACGCAGCAGTACATCACTAGTGGGTTGACGTTTACGGAGTATATGTACTATGACGACACGTACAAGTTAGGGGAGAGGCGGGCCCTCACTGTCACAGAAGAGAACATAACTAGGATTAAATATTTACAGGTAATTTATCTTTATAGCTCTCTCGCTCTCTATTCATATTATAACATGATAGCTTACAATCAAAACGTCGCTGTAGAACCAAACATTGCAGGAAACGAAAATAATGTTTCATTTCGTCAATGTTCCTTAAAATATTATAATGTGTTTCTTCCATAGTTTTGGATGGTAAAAAAGACTTATTTATTAATAACATAAATAATTCCTTACTTCATGATTGTACCAGTTAAATGACAAGAGTCTAAGAATAAATAATAAATGGTTTTTTGAAGTTATACTTCTTTAGGCGCGTTATGAAAAATTTATGAGAGTGAAATTTTACAATGCGCGCGCACCCGTGACACAAAATTAGGAGTGTGATTATAGCGTGCGCGAGCGAGATAGGAATAAGACAATCTACAAGTAAAAAGAAATAGAATATGCGTGAAGTTCGTATGCCAACAATTTTGAATGACCATAATGACATTTGTCATTTACCTTTTAAACAAATAAAGGAGTTTTAATTATTTTTTCAAAGAAATTTAGCGATGCTTTTTGAATTATAATCAGAAGTGATTTAAATTGAATATTTAAACCAATACTAATTAATATTTGTGAAAAAACTGTGCTCATCAACCTTCCTAAGTGCTTCAATACAATTGAGGTTAACTATCCGTATGTATTATTATTATTATCGAGTAATGTTTTGATTAAAAAATTAACCACATTGTTTAATCAAAACATGTAATTTTTCTGATTTTATCTAGCAAATATAAGGAAAAGAGACAAAAAACAATTGATGAATCAGTGTAACTGCACTAAATTGAATACAAAAAAAGAGTTTTCATCTTATCGCTGTGAAACATCAAAAACTGGAGGTGGAACAAAGCCAAACTATTTTTAATATTGCCAAAGAAGTATAACTTCTTACGCGCGTACATAAGTACACGGACCCTTTTTTTTTACATACGAGGTTATCATTCTACAGCGACAAAAGCTTCCACTACGAATAATTTATTGCAATTATTAACAGTTGACGGAATATTTCACCTTAATCAGGTTTGGTGTCTCCCTACTAAAGTAAAGTTGTCTTTTTCGGATACTTTATCTAATATTCCTTAATAAAAAAATTAGGTTAAAGACTAAATCTGACATTATTCAATTTAGTAAAACATTTTCAATCACAACCCCTTAGGGCAGAGAATATTTCGTAACCGGAACAATATTAAAAGTTAATAGGACTGGAGTCGGAAGTAAGATAAAAGTAAAATGAAACTCAAGAGAAATGAAAAAAACCCGGAAATCGCAGTAATGTATTTACTAAAGTATAAAATATTTGGTATATAATCGCCGGCAAGCACTTGAATATTTAAGAAAACTGTCTCTGAAAACTCTACAGTAGATAACGAGTTCGCAAAAGATATAATACAGGACGCCCCCCTCTCTATAGACTTCTGTTTATTGCTAAGTGCAGTTGTTTTAAATAAATTAATAAATCTCATGCTTAAAATACACATGAAAATGTACAGAAGAAATGGTAGAAATGAATCCAAGATATTATTACTATAATAAGGCTGCTAATAATAATAATCCGTTTGACCCAAATTCATTCCTTTTTATAAATTAAAAATAAAAATAAATCAGTGGCGCTACAATATTTTTAGGTCTGGGCCTCAGATTTATGTATCTGTTTCATGATTATTTGTTAATCTAATAGGCAAGTAGGATCTTCTTGACACAGCCGTCGACTTTTTGGGTCTAAGACAAGCCGGTTTCCTCACGATGTTTTCTTTCACCGTTCGAGCGAATGTTAAATGCGCACATAGAAATAAAACTCATTGGTGTAGCCGGGGATCGAACCTGCGAACTCGGAGATGAGAGTCGCATGCTGAAGCCACTAGGCCAACACTGCTCCTTTCCTTATTACCTATTCATCAAAAATAATTTCGCGTCAGCCATGATGACATAAAAACATATCAAGAACATTTTGTATTGAAAAATTTCGCTCGCCGTGTGTATTTAACCTTTTTTCACAGTTTTTAAAGGTCACAAAAACAATAAACTGCGCCACACAAGCACTGAATACCCTTCGCCAAGGGCTATAAATCCATCGACGTTTTCAAAAGTGCCATTTCACTCGTAAAGTTTCAAGCCAGAATTGACAATTTGTAGGCGCGTAAAGTTCCCCTCGTAATTTTAATGCAATCTCACAACGACAACTAATAAAATGTGAATAGGTAAAGCCTAAATCATAAATTCTAAAGCTTTACAACCCTTTACAAAAAAGTTAAGATAACTCAGATATTACAAGTCTCAAAAATGTATGGAAATATGTTATTTTATTACAGTTCCTTATATATATTATACTGAATTGCTGATAATTGAAGATCTTTTTTATTCTATGAAACGTATGTGGCCAGTGTGGTTTTTTTGTGAAACCAAATATTTAAAAAAAAAATACCAAATATACTAATTATCATGAAAATATATGCAAACATAGCCAAATAAATGTATAAAATGCTATTTTTTCTTATATAATATGTACCTTCGTTTCGCCTCAATATGATTTTTACTTAGCTTACTAGCCTACATTTTTAGTAGCTACGAACCAACATATGGATCATTTTGCTATGGTATCCCGGAGAGCTTTTCAGGAATAAACACCTCGGTACTCAATAAAACTAAAATATGTATGTTTCCAATTTTTCTCTCGATAAAAACTTTCCTCAGAGCTCACAAATAAACAAAATAAAAAAATGTCTTTAACTTCTCCAGCCGTTTTCGAGTATTGCGCTTAGCAACATATTTTCCGTTTCATTTTTATTTATTAATCACACACATCATATCATAAAAAATACTGGAATCATATATTAATAATACTGAATACCTTCTATCTATTATTTATCGTCATGGTTCGATGGTTTCATAGCACACCGTGAAAAGTAACTATCGCAATTGTAATTCTAATTATGTTTCTATTAGAATATCATATGTGTAAAACCTTATTTCAGAACAAGCAATAATGATTGTTTATTTTCTATTATACCTGCAATAATAAATCGTTAGTAAAATCTAATTGCTCAATTACAGTATGGTGGATACCAGTTTTGTATGCAAATTGGCTGATTATCACAATTCCACTCGTACTAAAACCCAATTATGCGTTTTAATTATAGGTTATGGCTGTAATTAATCTCTCATATTGATTCGTGATGTGAGCAACATAATCAATCATTGATACTTGACTACGCTGACGCTACGAACCGTTCTTGAATCGACAGTCTCCAATAGTATTGCCGTTAAGTTTGTCGAACAGTTACGATTATCTACATGTCGATCTAAATTGGGTAAAAAAGTTGGCAACTCTCTCTCGATCCTTCTCGCACTGGTTTTACGAATTTTTAAATTTGGTATACACAATACTTTCGAGGGAAATACGAGATACTTTTATATAGAGAACTACGCATCTAATTTTAAAACAAAGGAGGAATAGTTATTGTTGATTTTATAAATTACATGAACAGTCTCATTGTTTTAATTCGTTGTAGTCGCTTTGAAATTCTCAGAATTCCGACATCTCTGTTTAATTACGTCGAAATAAAATAGTAATTTCTATAACAATATTTATATTAATTAGCCTATCTTTATATAAGGATCTTGTTAGTGAGACATACCAATTAAGGAAACATTAAGCCTCGTTTCTTCATTATTATATTTATTAGTATTATCGTCTTATTCGGATTATAATACACATTATCTGTGCTTCCGGGATATATTGATTTTCCTTTAACTTACTTTTTTCTCCTGTGGTGTTATTTGTTTGTTTCTAAAATAACATAATCTATGATCAAGACGGATGACTTTGACTTTTGTTTCTTGACAGTCCACGATGTGTCTGCTTACAGAGTAAGTAATCCCCCCCCCCCCCCCCCCCCCCCCCCCCTTTTTCCCCCCCCCTTTTCGGGGGGCCCCCCCCCCCTTTTTCCGCCCCTAAGGGCCCCCCCCCGGGGTGTTTCTTTTTTTTGGTTTTTGTTTTTTTTTTGGTTTTTTTTTTTTTTTTTTTTTTTTTAAAATAATTAAAAAGTAAGAGGGACTGATTCGGCAATTACTGTTTCACCATTTTTATACAGTGATATTGCTATTAAAAAATTGGATTGGGTTTGAGAATGGTGAAAATTAAGGTCTTATTAGCTTTTTCTAATTACCTTTTAATGCCGAGTTATAAAATGTATAACGAAAAATAAATTTATATTTTTATAATTAGGGGTAGGTACATAAACATGCAGTTATACACAAAAACTCATGAAAATCTGCCAAGCCGTAGTAGTTAGCTTATAAACACTAATACACGAAAGTTTCACATATTATATAAATAAGCTTTCCCCAATCTTTTTAATTCACCAATTTATTCTACGAATACAATGGCCTTGATTGAAACATTAACCCACGATTATTCTAATACCATTCAAATTAGGTCGAAAAATGTATTAAAATGGAAATAAATACCCGAATTCTTTATCAAATTAAGCATATACAATGAAAATATATTGTCTGTATTATTTCAAAGGAAATTGAACTCAAATAGAACGAAACAACATTTTGGAATCACGTCTTTGTTTCGTAAACACCTCAGGGCTAGTAAACAAATAAAAGAATCGGAATGAACTGAACCAGGGTTGAAAATCTAGAAATTCGAATATTCGGCTGACGTTTTATTACATATATTTTTACTCAACAAAATTATAAATTCCAAATTCATGAAATTGGGGAATGTCTTTCTATGTTTTTCCTCACCCAAAATGATTCACAATGGAATAGTTATTGTTTGTATTTATCAAAGAATCTAACATCATACCTTCATTTTCTTTAGTAATGCTAACAATTTAAAGAAGACATGATTTCGATGACTTTCTAGACTCTAGAAAGTTAACTAACAGTTATTATTTGCTATAAATACGTCCCGTATTCAAGAACGTTAACTTCAATCTAGATCTGTCTCACTGTTACGAGATTATGACTTAACGACGAAACACGGTACGGCGGCGCAAATCTCGTAGACGGCTGGCCCATTCTATTTATTTCTATATATTCCTTGAACTCCTATGAATGTTTTTATGCAGAGATTATTAAAAATTGCACGGAAAAACCAGTTTCGTAAAAAAATCCTATTAAGGTGAAACGACGTTCGTGGGGACAACAGGTTTATAACAATGTTTCAAGTCATTTTACCGAAACCTGACAACCCTATGAAAACCTAAGAAATGCCGCCTACGGGGATCGTATGCTAAATAGGTATTTTTTACATTCAGGGATATCTCCTTGTTTGTATGCAACGCTTGGAAACAAAGGTTTTCTTTGTGATATATATACGAGTTCCTATATTGCCAAATATTCTTTATGATACCAATAACAAAAACTGTATGCGATACAGTTTCTATAAAAGCGTTTCAAAATGTATACGATTAAATAGAAAATAACTTTAATATATGTCTTTTTTTATTGAGAAAAAGGTTTCCAACACTCCACACTGATACTTGGTCAAACACAAAAACAATTTTTAATGTGACAAACACTTAAAGGCAAACATGACATACATATAGAGATCATAACCTATTATTAAACAAAACAAACATTCCAAAAAAAACCAATTTCTAATCAAAGAAAAATTCAAGTTAGAAAATAACTTTAATATATGTTGGCACCTAAAAACTGGAAAAAGGCAAAAACGCAGACAGTACAAAAGATGGGAAGAAGATATAAAGCAGAATGGCCCTTCCTTCCATGGCATCTGGAGGAGTGTATCGGGATCAGCAAACCGATTTAAGTTTGATTCTTTTTTATTTATTGTGTAATAAATTGTCCGATATAAAAGTTAATTTTTGAAGTGAAACCTTTATCGAGGTTGGAAAAAATTTAGTGTAACATTTTTTCGTTACGCGTCACATTTTTCGGTTACGCGCCATGTTGCTTTTTGAAGTCAAACTTCTTTATCGGCGTTGGAATGAAAATTCTTTATCGACGTATGGGAGAAATTTTGTAGCAAATCGTCACGTTTTTCAATGATAGTAATAATTCCATTACAATTAATGAAATTCTATAATAATCTTCGTAGTAATAAGGTAAAATGAAATATTTGTTTTCATGTCTATGATAATAAAAGCCTTTTGTTAAACTTTTATCTAATTTAACGAATTTCTGTAAAGTTGCATATAGTAGATCATTTTTCGAAAAATAAGATCATAAAGAAGTTTCACTTCTTACGTGTGTACACCT